TTTTTTTTTTTTTTTTTTAGTACCAGGAATCGAACTCAGAAACTTGCACTTGCCAGGGAGGCGCTTATTCCACTGAGCTATATCCCCAGCCCTTCCAGCAGCATTTTTAAACTCCAGTTAACAGGCAAAATCAATGAGTGAGCTGCAGTCGGCAATGACAAACAGAAATAGGAAGGGACAGATCAGTTTCAGACTGCAGCCAGCACAGTGGGGCTCAGCGCTGATGTGAGGGCATGTACACTCAAATGTCTTTGTAGCCGGCCTCACTGTAAACTATGCTGCTTACATCAGGTCTCGGTCAAAAAAGTTTGAGGGTTTGGGGTGTGGTTCAGTGGTATTAAAAGTGGTTGGTTACTCAGTGCTCTGGGTTCAATCCCCAGCACCACGACCAAAAAACAAGAAACAAAACCCATAAACTTCTGAAATTGGCTTTTTTTTTAAGAATCGGAGACTTGACTGGCAGCCCTCAGCAGGCTGAAGCAGGAGGATCGCCATGAGTTCAAGGGCAGCCTGAACTATGAGATCCCATCTCAAAAAACAAACAAACAAAAAAAGCAAACAAAAAATTGGAGGCTTAACTTGGAGCTTTTGCACTGAGCTATATCCCAGCCTTTTATTTATTTATTTATTTTAATTTTGAGACAGTTCTCACTAAGTTGTTAAGTTGCTCAGGCTGTATTTTGAGACAGGGTCTTACTAAATTGCTAGGTTGCCCAGAGTGCACTCAAATTTGTGGTCCTCCTGCCTCAGCCTCCCAGAGTACTGGGATTATAGTTTTGTACCACTGTCCCTGGCTTGACCCTAAAGCTTGAAGGCTGTAGGTGAATCTGGGAAGTGGGAGATATGATCCCAGGACTTAGATCCAAAAGAGTATATGAACAGTACTGTTACTAATCCTGCTGATAACGATGATGTCGGTTACTGAACAGGTATCCCATGCTGGGCAGGGGTGTTCCAATCCAAGAGCCTGCTATGGAAGTGAGGGGAGGAGTCTAGCGTACACAGACACCCCATGGCCAGGGAGAGAAGAGTCCAGGGAAGACTGCCTGGAGGAGGGAGCCCTGAACTCAGCTTAAGAAATCCCTCTCCTCTGGCAGGCTCAGGGCTGGGTCCCAGAGTGAGAGGTGGTAGCAAAGTAGTAACAACAGCTGCCATCAGTAAGCCCTGGCTGAGTGCCAGGCACCCCTGCAGTCCTCCAGGGATTCCCAGGAAGCAAGGCCTGCTCTCCAGGCCATTTCAGAGTTGTGGAGAGGGAGAGGAAGCTGGTAATGTGTAGGTTTAGGGTCGTGCAGGCTGAAAGCTGCTGAGGCTATCCTCAGCCCCTTCCTTGCACAAGGAAAGGGTCTGAGTAAACTCGGGGGCTGAATCCTGGAGCTGGGGTGCTGGCCAGAAAGGGAGGATGGCCAGAGCGGATGAGGGATCCAGGGGCCCGTCTGGGTGGGGATCCATGGTAGGGATGAGTTGCAAAGGCTCAGAGACCACCAGCTCAGGGGAACCTGCAGGCCCCAAGACACTGGAGGTGGGTACGGGGCCTGCACTTTGCAGTGCCGTGGTCATGAGGAGCGAAGCCGGACTGGCTCCTGCCCTGAACTCACAGTTCCTTGGACCCTGAGTCTCCAGCCTGTGGTGGGCTTGGTGGGGAGCAGGGAGCAGAGGAGAGCAGCAGGGCCCATTTCCCGTCTTCTGTCAATTCTCATCTTTGCTGGTTTGAACCCAGCTCCTCTGCCTTCCGGCGAGTCCCTGGTGCCTGCCAGGAAATAACTCTCAGGTCGCACGTTCCCACGCGGGAGTCTGGGGTCTTCACAGCTGGTGTTTCTGCCAAAGGACTGAACTTGGAGCTCTTGCTTGCACTGAGGGGCTATGGCTGGCCATGCTCTGGATATGTGAGTACTACGGTTATTCATTATTCTCTGCCACTTTGGATGTGTGCTACAAGTATCCGACCCCCACACACATTCTGACCTACGTTTCCACATTTACTCTCACTGGGCCCTTGCACAAACATGTAGTCCCTTGCATACCTCCTTGCACACAGGTACACACCCCTGCAGCAAAATCACCACCCTGTGATCCCTGGCCTCCTTTAGGCAATCAGTAGTGTCTGGGCGCTTGTGTGTATGGGATGTGAATGGTGGGAGTGCTAGTGATGGGGGCTGGGTCCCAAGCCCTTTGCTTTCTGGGTCCTGTTCTGGGACCCATGGAGTTCTTTTAAGGGTATTTTGGGCTGTGATCTGAGCTCCCCAGTTCTCAGGAGCTTCCCCAGTAGCTTGAGAGGCTCAGATTGGTTCCCTTCAGGTCCCACTCCACTGACCTTCACTTTCTGCCTGGGGCCAGGAGAGAGGGCAGCGTGCTGGCCCTGCTGGCCCTCGGATACCCTAGCAGCTCTATGGGCTTCTCTTCCTCCACAGTCAGCAGCCCCTCCCTTGCCTGGGTTGGTGACTCTGGATTTGAAGACTTTCTGGTGGCTGTAGTGACTGTCTCCTGCTCCCAGCCCCATGGTTAGGGCTGCAGGACTTGCTGCTCTGAGCAGGGACTTGGCAGACCTGTGGGGGCCTGGAGAGGATGCCAGTGAGGCCGGACATGTGGTTCGGATGCAGCCTGTGGCTTGCCCCTGAGAAACTTTCAAGCCCCCAGTCCCTACCTCTGAGACCTATGAGCTGAACCCCCTCCCCTGGGCTAGTCTTTCCCGTTAGGTTCAACTAGATGCCTGCTGTGTGCCGGTGAACACAGATGCATGAATGGAGGTGTGTCAGGCTTGTGCTTGGGATCAAAGGCCAGGTCAGATCTGGTTGTATTTTCCAGGAGCTCAGTGTCAGACAAATTCTGGGCAAAGGGGTGGTGACAAGGGGGCCCTGTGTTTGTACATGTATGTTCATGTGTGCACATTTTGTGTGTAAGGTGTACACACGTGTGTTACACACGCATGTGTGAAGATGAGGAATGTGTGTGTGAGCATGTGCTCCTCTGTATGAAAGCTCCTACCTTAGCCAGAGCAGGAATACATCCTCAGGCCAACGGGCACCAGCTGGGCAACCTGATGGGGGCCGATACTGGGCTGTGGCAGGAACAGGAAGGAAGGGAACCATGCCCAGAGGTGGAGCTCCTCATCTGCATCTGTGCCGGCTTGCTTGCTCACTGGATCAAACACCTCTGAAGGAAAATGGGGCCCTCTGTCTCCCAGATGAAGAACTTGGAGATCAGACAGCCGATCTGAGCCTTGCTCGGCTGGCTTCTGAGGGATGGATCTGCTTTTCAAGGTTCCTCCCTGGCTTTCTCTGCTCTTTCCCTCCCGCATTTGGGTGGGGCTCAGATTGGCTCAGGAGGAACCTTGAGTTGAGGTGAGAGTTCCCTGGACCACAGTTTCCTCATCCATTTATAGGGACGATGAAAGTACTGTACTCACCGCTTAAAATCAGCTTGGTGAAGCACTTGAGACCTGCGTGCTAAGGACCTGGTAAGAATTCCACTGCTGGGTCCTTCCCACTCACCTTTGGTCATTCTTAGGGGCTGCCTGGCACCCCCAGGCCCCAGCTTCCATCCCTGCCCTTGGACAGAGGTGGGGCCTGCCGCTGCTGTGGTCTCTGATTGGAGTGAGGCAGGTGGTGACAGGTGAGCAAAGAGGGTTTCCCTGGTGTGGCGCGGAGCGAGGGAGGAAGTGAGTCACCCAACACAACAAAGCCCATCTCCCGGAGAGGAAGCAGCGGCGAGAGGGTGAACGCATGTGGGTGCCCGCGGGGGCGCGTGAGCCAGCGGCATAGGCCGAGGGGCGCCGGATGGCCCCGCTAGGTGCCAGCCGGAGCGACACTGGGGGGCAGGGCAGCCCCAGGGGTACATCACCCCTTGGGAGCAACCGGTGGGGGGCGGAGGGGCCACTTCCCATCCAAGATTACTGCAGTGCTGTCCCCTTTCGCCTCTAGGGGCTGAGGGGCGCGTTTCCCTGAGAGTCCAGTGCGTTGGAGAAACCCACGACTGAGCGCACATTCTGCCCCTTCGGTATTCATCTTTGGGAACCTTGGGGAGGCTGAAGCCTAGAGAGGGCGACGGCTTAGTTTAGGTGGCACAGCATAGCGAGGCTCGTTCCAGAACCTGCTTGTCCTCTTGGTCCCGCCGAGGCTTGGTCTGGCTTTCAAAAGCAGAGAAGGGCCAGGAAACCCCCAGCCCACCGATCTTCAGGGGAGCTGGGCCCTGTGAGGGGGTGTGGCGCCGACAGCCTTTGCTTCTTTCTCCAGCCAGAGGGGCTGGCAGTCGGGCTTGGGCATCCTCCAGAACTAGCCGAGTAATGACAAGGGAAGAGGAACTGGCTTCCCGGGCAGTCTCCCCCGCCCCAAAGTTTTCCTCTTCGCTGAGGGTGGCGGGCGGAGGGAGGAAGCAGGCCGAGGGAGGTGGAGCCCGCTCGGAAGCGCTCAGGACCGCGGCTCCGGGATGCTGATCTGACCCGGCCAGGGTGAGTGTGTCTTTAAATCCGCGTCCCCCGCCATCTAGGCGGAGGGGCCGGGGCTCCCGCGGACCGGCGGGCGGGCGCGGTGATTGGCGGCCAGGCCGGGTCCGCCCTCGGCGTGGGGGACGCGGGCGCGGGGCGCGGGCGGCGCGCACTGGCCTGGCGCGCGGCTCCCACAGCTCTTGCCTCGCGCGATCTGCCGGGCCTGGCCGCCTCTGGAGCCGCCTCCGGCTGTGAATGGGCTGGGGAAGTTGGCAGGAGCCAGCTAGAGCCCGCGCCGGGCGCACACCACCGCCGCCTATCTCGGCGCCCGCAGCTCGGGCGCAGCGCGCCGGCCGCTGGAGCGCGGATGTCCCCTGGAGCCGCGGGCTGGCAGGTACCGACGAGTCTTCGCCCCGCGCCTGCCAGGGGAAGGCAGATCCAGGGTATTCCCCAGGCTGGGTGTGCTGCGATCGTCCCTTCCCATGTACAAGAGAGCGCAGGTCCTAGGCCCCCACCCAAACCCGCCGGGATTGGTGCCTCTGAGGCAAAGGGGACCCCACTTACTAAAGGGCAAGCTATTATCGGGTCGGTTTCTGCGTCGGGCTGGGGGACCCCCCTCCCCGCGCCTCGAGGGGTCCCTGGGTTTGGGGTCGACATGAGCTGGCGACAGCTCTCCTCTTCATTGCTGGGCCTATGGGCAGGACCAGAGGGCTGGGCTTCCTGCAAAGTTGCAGGGAGAGAAGCCATCTCGTGACCCGGAGATGGGTCCCAAGGCTCATGTCTAGGGAAGCTTGAGGCCCACAGACCCGGAAAGAGTCCAGAGGTCCCAGTGCACACAGTTTGACGTTTTGGCCCCGTCTGGGGCTCTTCCTTTGTGGACCTGAGTCTCCAAGGAGGGCTCCTTTTTCTTCCTCAGAGGGTTTTCCTGGAGGAGTAGTGACTGGTCACAAAGAGTGGTCAGTGAGAAACCTGCAGTGCCCTGCTCCACACAGTGGCCAAGAATGCACTTGTCCTGAGAAGTCGGAGACAGCAAGAAAGCCTGCCAGCCCCAGAAAGCTCTGGGGCATCTCTGGTCCCACTCCAGTCCAGGCAGGCGCTCCTTGGCTTGTCCGAAGAGCATGCAGAACCTGGCACCCAGCACCTGTCAGATGCTAGGCTGTGGGCCATGCTGGGGATGGTGTGGGTGTTGGGAGGGCTTGGAGGGTTTGTCTTCGCTTGGCTTAGCCTTGCAGGGGAAGACAATGCAGAGACGTGCAGAAAGTTCTCTGATGGAGTTTCCATGCCAGCTCTAGACTGCTAACTGCCTTGAGGGTAATTCAGGCTTTGAGACACTGGGGGGCTGAAGTCCAGTTCTCATGCACCCATGCCCATGCGCTCCAGCATTCAGGCTGCAGATCCCTGACCTCTACTGGCAGGGAGCAGCAGGAAGGCTGGGGTGGTCCTTCTTCCTATATATATGCCTCACCCCACTTGCAGACTTTTTTTTCTTCTTGAGACAGGGTCTTGCTATGCAGTTCAAATTCATCTTGAACTCACTATGTAGCCCAGGCTGGCCTTGAACTCTTAGCGATCTTCCTGCCTCTGTCTCCTGAGTGCTAGGATTGCAGGCATGCACCACCACGCCCAGCTTCCTCTTGTAGACTTTTTGTTTTGGGTTCCCAAAGACTATTTGGTTTCCCTGGTCAGGCTGCGCACACGACTCTCGAAGCAGTGCTGGGACTCCTGCGGTTTAGGGTTTAGGGCCGGTGTTGTGGGAAGCTTGGAGGCAAGTGGGAGGAAGTCCTCACTTCCTTTTGCAAGAGCCTGCATCACTGGAGGCTGGCGGTGAGGTTGGGAGGCCGGGAGACACTGGGCCAGACATGGTTTCCTGTGCATGCAGACAGGCTGCGGGTGGTGATATGCTGGGGTGGGCTGGCTGGGGCCACGGGCAGCCCTGGCCTCACCTCTGTGGATTCTGCTGGATCTGGGGCTCGGTCCCCCTATTGTTCCTGGCAGGATCTCACTTTTCTGGAGCACTTAGTGGCGGTGGCAGTGTGTGCCCGTGGCCTTGATGTTCTGGGAGTGGGAGTTGCTGAGCTCACCCACAGTCCTTGGCTGGCACTGTGGTAACTTGGTGAGCACACCCACCTGCCTCAAGCAGGTGGCACCCGCAGATCGGTCGGCCAGCACGGGGGGTGGGGGGGACGGGGCTGGCGTGGGGCTCCTGTGCAGGCAGAGACTTGTGCGCATGCTTAGGGTTGTAGCTGCGTGGGCAGAGACAGAGGAACTGAGCACAAGCCTACGTCAGAGCAGGCAGGGGGGGTTGTGGGGTGGGTGGACAACCCCAGGACACGTGTAAGGACAGGCTTGTAGGACCACGTCCACACAGTGAGCCACAAGGCACGTATCTAGACAGGTCTGCACCGTTGCTAGGATTTGAATGTACCCACCTGGGAGGCAGATGTGTAAGTAGGCAGACATACAAGGGACCCACGAGAGCACAGACAGGGTATAAGTTGACATTAGTAGGCACAAGACACGAGGCCACACAGAAGTGGCTTCAGTACCGAGGCAGACATGGAGTCTGCTGTGGGCTCCCGGGGTAGGCACCTGCACCTGCTGGAGGCACGTGGCAGCACAGGCAGGGACTGGTCAGCCCTGGGGACTCAGCTGTAGTCTGAGGCATTCAGTGCTCCGTGTGACAGCACGGTGGTAGGTCAGGTGCTCTGTGATGTGGCTTTGTTTCTAGGCTCCCACCGAGGGTTTGAGGACCCTGCAGCCTCAGTATATTATCTGAGTATCACTTGGCCTTGATCAGACTATAGGGCACTTGCAGGAGCTTTTTGCATCTTTGATTCTCATCTCTCTTGGGTCCCTGGGAGTTTCCTGAAGTGAGGCCTATGGCCCCGGGTGGTGCTTCGGCTGTTCTTTGCCCACTTCCCCAGCACAGGGGGGATTTTCCCCTTGAGCCCAGGCCTGTGGTCTCTGGCAGGGCTGGGGTGACCCCTGGAGACAAACAGATGGATCTGTGATAGCTACTGTCTCTTGATATGGACTTGCTTGGGCTTGATGGAGCAGGGCTCCCTACCTTCTGGCTGTGGTCTGTCTCCTCTGCTCAGTCTGGCAGCTGGGAGCCAGCCCGCATTCCAGATTCAGTGTGACACTGACCTGCAGTGCCACAGCCCTAGGAACTCCAACCCCTGGGAAGGTTGAAGGGTTACATGGAGAAAATCAGTGGGAGGCACGCAGCACCTGGCCAGCGCTCTGCGCCTGGCCAACATGGGGTTGGGTGGTTCTGAGCAGGCGTCTGCTCTGCAGCCAGGACTCTGCGGAGTTTCATGCAGGTGGTCCAGGCGCCTGGGCAGGGGCCTGGGGTAGGCCGGGCACCTCTCACTGAAGGCTGGAGTGCTTTGTCTGTACACTCTGGCCACCACCCTTCCTTAGCCTTGGGGGACCTCCAGGCAGGGTCAGGAAGTGGTAGGCTGGGCATGTGGAAGCTCGGGCCTGCCGCCTGCTGGGCCTCTGGGAGGGGAGCCAGTGGTTTGCTAAGAATAGCCCCAAATCGTGGCTCTGGCCTTCCAGTGGGCAGCTGGGCAGCTTCTGTCCCAGGCCAGGGTGCTTGCAGATGGGCTTTTGTTTTCCGTAGCTGGCATGGTTGCAGGGGTGGGCCTGGGACCTGCAGGCTCTGCCCCCTTCTAGGATTTCCATGGGACTGGGCACAGAGAAGGCCGGTGAGCACTGGCCTTTGTAACCCCCGAGGGCCTCTGTCATCTTGGACTTGTGCTGACAGCTGTGCCCCTGACCGTCTTCTTATCCCTGTGAGGCCTGTCATGGTTAAGAGGTTGGCTCCGGAAGCAGATCCCCAGGGTCTGAGTTCTTGCCTTCTGCCTCGCTAGCTGTGTGGCTCTGGGCATCGCACTGAGCCTCTCTGTGGCTAGATTCCCTTGTGTCCAGATAGTGAGAGGAACTCCCTTGTAAGTCTGTCATAAGGATGAGAGCAGGGAGTGCGTGCAGAGGTCTGACTCCTGAGATGTGCTCGGTGCACATGAGGTGCTGTGGTTATTGTCATGATCGGTGTCTTCTCAGCAGAGGAGAGATCTCTGGTATCAGGGTGCAATATGGGAGAGAAGGACCAGAATGGCATCTTGATTTTGGGTTCTTGGCCCTGGGTTTGGCATGAGGTGCAGCAGGGGTTTAGGCTCTGCCATTGCCAGGAGGTGAGTGCAGCTCATACCTATGTTGTGCCTTTGTGCATTGGTGCCCGACAGCGGACTGCCTGTGGTCCGAGCTGCAGGGAGGGAGCAGCTGGTCTGCGGGAGCTTTGAGGAAGGGCTAGGTGGTAGGGAGTGCTGTAGGGTGGGCATAGTGGGGGCGGGAGCCAGGCACTGTGATGAGAGACAGGGCCTCTGGATTTAGTGTATGCTGGGGAGGATGTGGGTCGCCTGAGAAAGGCCTCCCAAGACTTGGGCTTGTGGATATGCAGGAGATAGTGGAGTGATCCAGATCACCTGGGACCTTGGCAGCTTCTGCACTCCCCGGCACTGCCCTCACCCTGCCCTTCCCAGAGTGGGACGCTTGGGCACTTTGGGAGGTTCAGTTTGGAGAGCACAGAGCACTTCTCCCCTTTTCCTTCTCCTTCTTGGACCTGGGGAACCTCCTGAAAGAGTTAACCCTTCTCCTGCTGAGCACAGGAAGCTACCCTGTGCTCCTTCTCAGCCCCAGGACTGTGCAGGCAGGTCCTGGCTGACCTCACCCAGCCCTGGACAGAGTGGTACTCGCTCTGACTTTGCTTCCACAGGGCTGCCTGCAGGTGTAGCTCCTGCCTGGCTCTCTGAGGCCTGTAGGGAAGCTCTGGTTTCCCGAATTCCCTGAGAGGAGGGTCTGCCCTGGAGATCACCCCCGCCAACCATGGCAGAGCCCCTGGGGCAGGTGTGGGGCGGTCGCTCCTCCATGGTGCTGTAAACTAGGCCTGTGGTGTTGGTGAAGAAGCCCTGGGCTGGCAGTTTGCTACCTTCTCTGAACCCATGCTTCTCATCTACAAAATG